CCTGTCTGCGTAGCTCAAAGCATCTGAGTAAAATGTGTTTTGGGCCTTACAGGCCTCACCCTGTAGGAATGCACCCAAGGGCAAGCTGTAATGGGCCAGTGCCATGAAATCTCCGTAGACGACCCCTCCATATTCTCTATGCTGGCGAGTGGACCCAGCTTCTCTCCGTGCTGGCGCTCTCTCTGATTGAGTGAATGCAGGGGTGGCTTCGACCTCCCTGTTGGCGGAGTCATTGGACGAGGACGTCGTGGAGGACATAATCTTACTGCCTAATTATCCTAACGACTGCTGCAGGTCGGCTACTTCTCAAGCTAGCCTGTGCAGCATGAGGCCCATGCTTTGAGGCAGCTTGCTGGTTTCTTCCTTCTTCGGGAGAGCGTACTCTTCCCCTGGGCTGCTGGGCCCGGTCCTTCGCAGCTTCTTCTCGGCCTCCGCCGGCCTCTACTGCAGACAGCACACAGCCCTGGCGGTTCCTATTCCCGCCCTTCACAATAAAAGTCCATGCAAAAGAACAGAGTACACCAATTGCTGTCTATGCTATCAATATAGTAATTTGTTCGCTCAAATAGTAAGTTGAGGCCTTAATATATTAATTCGTGGCCTCAGTATATTCATTCATGACCTCAGTATAGTAACTTGTGGCCATGCCTTATCACCATGTGACCTAGGAGCCCCAGCTTTGAGGCACTGAGAGGATTTCACTGAGAAAATGAGATGTATAAGACCAGGTCACTGTTCTAAGACATTTTAATGTTTTATGGCTGTTTTTACACATTTACTCCTCTCATTTCACAGCCACCGTCAGTGCACAGCAGAAGAGTATCATGTAGATACAGGCTGGAGAACCAGGCCTGTGCAGCGCGGCTCGTTGGTCTAGGGGTATGATTCTCGCTTTGGGTGCGAGAGGTCCCGGGTTCAAATCCCGGACGAGCCCGACTTTTTATCCCCTCCTTACATACAGCTGGAATAAAACACATACACTGCCATACAAATGAATGTAGATATAGCTGCACATACGCGACACAGTGATCCAGCACCTGCAGAAAAACAGCAGCACTGCGATCACTTCATTACTAAATCACTTCACTGCAGAAATGTAGAGCTGTTAAACCGACTCGACCAGCTGAACGGTAGAATAAAAGCAGCAGCTAAAACTGAGGAGAGAAACGCAGCTCGAGTTGGCTTATTAACATTACTCGAGTTCGTCCGTTCCACCTTAAATGGTGCAGCAGGAATTCTGGCGCCTAAGAATTCCAGTAAGAAGCCAACTCGAGCTCGAGTCCCATCAGAAGAACGACAAAATGTTCTAAGAGCTAAAAATGGACTTCGTTATTAAATAAGGTATAAAGCTAGAACTCTTAAGACTGTTAGTGACTCGCCAAATAACCCGACCGCGAAAGAGACCAAGGGCATTATTGCTGTGATATGCTGTGGCCACCAGATGTCACTGTTGGTTTGGATAATTTGTTAAGATTTTTTTAGAAAGCTATTTTAATTATTTCATTGACCGCCCCTTCCAGTGATTCTTTTTCCGGTTTCAGTCGGTGAGCGTACAGTGTTTACAACAATCATGACACCAAAGAAGCACAGTAGATCTCTGTCATAACCCTGTTATAGCCTGATTTCAGTCGTGGCCGTCATGGCCGGTTAGCTCAGTTGGTTAGAGCGTGGTGCTAATAACGCCAAGGTCGCGGGTTCGATCCCCGTACGGGCCAATAAAGCTTTTCCTCAGCCAGGTTTTACTTTAGACTCTTAAATCTGGACTGATGGAATGTCAGATTACTTTAATCCGCCTTTAACTCAGCAGCTCAGTCTGTTTAATCACTCCGGTTAGGGTTAAAACGCCTGAAACTTACAGGGAAAATGCGTGACGTCTAACTTGTGACCTTCCTAACAGCATTTATAACAGAGAAACGAGCACAAAACACCATTTATGTATGGTTTACTGTATTTCTAGACTCTGTGCTTTCCTCTTTTAGCTGTCTTTGGAGTGGAGGTCCAAAACCTCTACATAATTAAGATGTAAACAGTGATTCAGAGTGGTTTGGTGTGAAACAGTTGGTTGTAGAGACTCAGATTTCTTTACAGTGGTGGGTAATTTACCGCAGCATAGCTCAGATACAAATTCAGAAAGTATGAAAAAAAACACCCGTTTATAACTTCTCTGGTCCTAAATAACCCAAAAACTAAAAATAGAAGAGCACTGAATACTGAGATTCAAAAGTAAAACAGATTCTAAAATTTAATAAGAAAAATGTTTTTAAAAATAGAGAAAGTGAATCTTAACAGGTCACCATGCTCTCACAAACACACACAACCTCACACTCAAAGGCCTAAGACACAAACTTAAAGACAATTAGCAGACTGAACTCTGGAGAGAGAGAGAGAGAACGAGAGAGAGAGAGAGAGAGAGAGAGAGAGAGAGAGAGAGAGAGGTAAACTGTGACCCGGCTGGTCAATACGTTCACCTCAGTTATGAACTCTTCATCACAGCTGAATGAAGTTAAAGTGAAGTTATGATTGTTAACCCAGTTTATGACACACTTAACATTCAAATGATGTTAAAATGAACAGAACACAGTAAAAACCAACCCTCTAACAAAGGTCAGCTAACAGCAAAGGTCAGCTAACAGCAAACAAAGATCTTCACCAGGTGTTGGTTTGGCTGCTATTTTGTTTGTGTTTTGGGGTTTTGTCTGTGTTTGGTGTCAGTCATGGAGCTCAATAAGCTCTTTTGTTTATTCTGTTGTTTTGGTTAGTTAGCATGTATCTTGGAGTTACTGTGGGTTCTGTTTGTTGTTGTGGCCAAGCCTGTACAGCTATATAATACACTTTGAATTTGCTGTTAGGAACCGTTTGCAGTGTTTGGTTTCATTATTATATTATTATACACCACACACACCTTCAGAAAGCAGACGTTCCGCACCCACTGTTCTTTTCCTCAAGACTCATATAAAGCTGGAATCACATGTTCTGATGTGTGTTGCTGTTAGCCTGTAGCTGTCGTTGGGCCACTGTCCTGCGCAGTTTTCCTTCAGTGCTTCTGATTGGGCAGCACAGCAGATATAAAAGAAACCGTATCCGCTCTCAGGGGTCCGCAGCAGCGCAGAACGGCACAGTATGGTCGGGTGAACCTTGAGGCTCTACAGTGGAACAGAGGCCAACGTCTCGGACATCAGGCAGTGAATTCACAACTATTTCATGTAGTAACTTTCTGTGAGGGAGCTTTTAGAGGTGGACGTCTGGTTCCTATCACCACCACCATGAACAGTTCTGACTCAGTAAGTTTATCTAGAATGGAGCGTTTCATACCAAACCACTCTGAACCACTCTGTTTACATTTTGACCTTGTAGAACCGGCCATCTTGCCGGTGGTTTTCTCCCCTTTAAACTGGACAAACAGCTCCAACATACAAGCCCAAGTGTGTCATTTACTTCCTATGTAAACATACAGTGTAAACGTATGGAGAACGTGTGTACCTGTTCCGTGTGTTTGGCTCAACATTGTTCAATCGTTTGGTTTACAGATCAGTTTAAATCTGCCATCTTTATTCAGGATGTCACGTGATGTGTTGACCAGATTCTGCGTTTGATTGGTTTTGCTTAGTGAACCACAGCCAATCAGAGTTTGTGATCTGAACATTTGAAAGTCAAGGTGGGCGTGTCCAAGCACAGACTGGCTTTGGTTAGGTTGCGTCAGCCAATCGTGTTCAGAGAAAGTCGTGGTGGGAGGGTCTTTGGGCAGCTTTGAGAGAGAAAAGCAAGAACAGAAAAACAAACGGCTCAGAGGATTTTCTACAGACGAGGATCTAGAACTGCTGTTCCAGCAAGATATTGCACCAAATTTTTAACTGAACTTTATAAATTTGTGTTATTTTGTGCTTTTATGTTTGCCAAATTGAGAGGTTCTGCTGCTGCTGCCTCCTGCTGGTCTGCTTGTGTCATTACAGTTCACATCTGCTTTCTTGGGCTTAATCCCATTTTACCCCTCAGCCCTACCCCCCCTGTTTGTGCATTCACGTCTAGGGGTGGGATGTCCTGATTCTTGTTGAGATAGAGGGGGAGGGTGAAGTGTTGGGGCTACATGACCCTCCAAACAGAGAGTTATGAGAAAAAAAAAGAAAAACTGGCGAGATGGAACACAAGACTGTGAGAATTTGAATGAATGTGAGAATTTTCTTTGTTAAAATTACAATAACCACTGTATTATATTAGTTTAATATCGTTTTAGTGTATTACTTTTCTTCATAACAAGCATGTCTCGGTAGCTAAATTTCCTGTTACACCTTCAATTGTGCAGCAGTTCTAAAGCCTGAAGCGCCAGAATGTAACTGCTGCTCCATTTAAGGTGGAACTGGAAAATTTGACTTCAGCTTCATATCACTGAAGAATTAGTGGTGGGTGATAATAAATAATTGCCCCCTCTTTGAAGTCATATGATGCCCTAAATGTAACTAAAGCCCAGCAGTGAGGAGCTGAACTTTACCCTCCTCTGCTGTCACTGCAGACTGGCAGGGTCACCTACAGAGCAGCGCTGGTAGCTGTTAATGAAGTGATGCTCTTTTTATTTGAGGGTCCCATTTCAGAGGGAAGATCTCAACCACTACCCTGGAACTCAGCTCCAAGGGGCAACACTCGAAAACAAGGGATAACAATAAGAAATGGGTCTGGGCATAAAATTGGAGCAAAGTTGCTGAAATTCTTCATAAATTTTTGACAATTTTATCACTAAATTTGAGAAAGCGGCCCGTAAACATCACCAGTGAAGTCTGTATTTACTCTAGGAAGGAAGTTTATCTCTGGTTTTTCTTGCTCTGAGCACAAAAACAACCAAATTCCAAATAAAAAATATCAACATTGTGATCTTTGGACACTTTTACAAGGAAGTTCAGAGAGGAATTCCATTACATACTGCAGGAATTATTATTCTTATCTGGTGTTGTTTCAGATTTCCTCATCAGTCTACAGGTTAATTGAAATAATCAGACTAACGAGGCGTCTCAGCATTCAAGGTTTATTCGTCATTAACAATAAATTATTCTTTACAAAACAGAAATTTTGGCAATTACCTTTTTATTGCACATTGTACGGCACACATGACCATGCAGGAAAATAAGCACACATACACGTCACACCGATCCGGCTGCATATTTCCGGCTGCATTCCAGTTGGGAAGCACTTAATTGGTTAGACTGGTTGTGCAGGTTTACTACTCTTCAGCCGCGTGTTACGCGGTTACATGCGCGTATTGATGTTATTAATCTGCTGCAGGACGTGCAAAACCTGCAGCTTCTCAGGAAATAAAAACATTCACCAAAGACGATTAAAACACAAAGCCAGTACTTTAAAAACCTGGTCGGTGGGCGAGACGCCGAGGCTCGTATAATACAGTGCACACCTGCTCACTCTCACCAGCCGCTCCTCACTCAGGGGTGACTGGAGTCCGACCCTTAGAAAAGTCCCGACACTTCCTGCTTCGTTCATTCGTCTTCTGTTCGCTCGTTTGTTCTGGTTCCTTCATGACAGCAGCTCCCGTAAACAGAGTGAGGTTGTTTTCATGCTGAACGTGTTTGTGAAGAACTGAATGGTTCGTAAAAGCAGCCATTAAAACACAAAACGCGCAGAAACGCAGCTCGAGTGGGCTTCTTATTAGAATTCGTCTGTTCCGCCTTAAATGGTGCGGCAGTTACATTCTGGCGCCTCACCATTTAAGGCGGAACGGACAAATTCCAATAAGAATCCCACTTGAGCCTCATTGCGCAGGCATTCCTCCAGCCGTGACCTTTGACCCCCAGTGAGTACCTGAGACAGAACAATATCCGCAGAAGCCTCCTGCGCTTTAATTCGGTGGAACGTGTCGTCTCTAATCAGCTAATTCTCAGGCCAAAGGTCACCGTGTCCAGTCTGCATCGGTGGAGCCCCTCACTGCTCCTGCTCTGATTGGTTGACCCAGGTAGGGCTGTAAAGTGCCGTTTTGGTGGCGCGGCGCCCCCTGGAGGCGGCCCTGGTGCCCCCCTGTTGCCCACCCTGGGCCTGCTGAATCCTCTGGCACTCCCTCAGGTTCTGGGCTCGGACCTCCGAGCTCAGGATCTCCTCCACCACGCGGCAAGGGAACCAGCCGCGCTCGCCGTCGTGCAGACGCTCCCCCATCATCCAACCTGAGGAGGAGCACAGAGAGAGCTCAACTAATAACAACAACAACAACGTCAGTAATAATAATAATAATAATAATAATAATAATAATAATAATGTTCTTTAATACTTTAAGGGTATTTATTCATGTAAACGAAGTCAGGAGCTTGGACACAACAATTTTACTCACTTTTATATTATGCAAATTAATCTAATCTAATCAAAGAACAGCTAATTGAAGGACAATTCCACACATTTTCCAAAATTCCTGCATAATTAATAAGATGTAAACAAAGTAATTCAGAGTGGTTTGGCATCAGAATCGTTCACAGTGGTGGTGATAGGCTTCTAAAATAGAGGTTTGAAACTCAGACTACCTAGTCGTTCTGAACTGAATCGGTGTTCTGTGTTCTCACCATCGTCGGTTCTCTCCAGGATGTGCAGGACGTCGGCCATTTCTATAGAGAGCTCATCAGGCTCCTGAGCGGAGTACGACTGAATACACTGAACCTGCGGAGAGTCTGACACACACACACACACACACACACACGCAAACAAACACAGAATATATATTATATACATTATATACTGAGATCATATTCATCTCAATGGAATTCACATCCTAAACTTACAGACTGAACAAATTTTGGTGTGAATTTTAACATCAGGTTCAACTTTGTTGAATTCTGACATTTAAATTCACATCTTCAACCAATAGCACTGCTGCTGACCTCTGAGGAGGCGGAGCTTCATAGCAATGAACCTCCAAAATGGAGGGAACAGTCAATCAGGAGGCTATTATTATTATTATTATTATTATTATTATTATTATTATCACCATCATCACCATCATCATCTTTGCTGTGTTTTTTCCCTCTGATACAGAAACCTGCTAATCTGCTAATACTGAGTACCAATTCTAACTCAGCCAGCCTAATTTTTACATTCTAAAATTACACTTTTGAGACTTTTAATCTGGGTAAAATCAGTTTGTGTGAGTTCAGGTGTTTCATTCAGACTCATCACCACAGGTGTATAAAATCCAGCCCCCAGCCATGCAGCCTGCCTTCACACATATCAGTGAAAGAATGGGTCTAAAGAGCTCCAAGAATTCAAGTGTGGTGCTGGAATAAGATGTCACCATTTTAACAAGTCAGTTTGTGAAATTTCTTCCCTCTTAGATTTCCACCATCACCTGTGAGTGGTATTACTGAAAAGTGGAAGTGTTTATGAACCATAGCGACTCAGCCACAAAGAGTCAGACCACGTAAAGTTACAGAGCGGGTCGCCGAGTGCTGAGGAGCATAGTGCAGTGCCGTCACTGGACTCTGGAGCAGTGGAAACGTATTCTGTGGAGTGACGAATCATACTTCTCTATCAGTCAGTCTGAAGGTGGCTGGCTTATTCCACATGCGGATCAAACCGGCAGTCCCCATGTTAGAAACCTGGTGGGCTATGGGATAAACCAGTGACCAGTCACAGAGAGGAGCTCAAGTGCAGAGCAGTAGAGACTCGAGAACGGGGGGAAAATAGAGAAAAGCAAGGTTGCACCGAACAAAACTTGGGTAAATGCATTACCACTAAGCTACTGCAGCAATGCTGAGGAAAGTATTATATATAGAGCTTATATTTACACAAGAAAACAACTGTGAGAGAACCCAGAGTTTAACATAAACTCAAGACCTGAGACAACACCATTTCCTGGCTCAGCAGAGAGACGTGCACATGGCCGCATTAACTCAAGACTGAGCGGTGAGCTGTGTGAGAGCTCTCCTTAAGTAGAACATGCACAGCTGCACCTGATCAGCCTCAACCAGCTCATCCTGGTTCTCTGACTCCTCCTAGTGGTTGGACGTTACAGCACTGTGCCAGCTGTAAAGTTTGGTGGAGGAGGGATGATGATATGGGGCTGTTTTTCAGGAGTTGGTCTAGAATCTTTAGTTCCAGTGAAGGGAAATCTTAATGCTTCAGCACCAAGACATTTTGGACAATTGTACACTTCCAACTTTGTGGGAACAGTTTGAGGAAGAACCTGTTCTGTTCCAGCATGACTGAGCCCCAGTGCACAAAGCAGCTCCATAAAGGCCTGACTGGGTGAGTTTGGTGTGGAAGAACTTGACTGACCCTCACAGAGCCCTGACCTCAACCCCATCCAGCACCTTTGGGATGAACTAGAATGGAGATTGTGAGCCAGACCCTCTTGTCCAACATCAGTGTCTGACCTCACAAATGCTTTTCTGGATGAATGGGCTCAGATTCTTTTTAAAATTTTTCTATGGTGTATGTGTGTGTGTGTACCCGGTTGGTGTTGGGGTGTGTGTGTGTGTGTGTGTGTGTGTGTGTGTACCTGGTTGGTGTTGGGGTGTGTGTGTGTGTGTGTGTGTGTGTGTGTGTACCTGGTTGGTGTTGGGGTGTGTGTGTGTGTGTGTGTGTGTGTGTACCTGGTTGGTGTTGGGGTGTGTGTGTGTGTGTGTATGTGTGTGTGTGTACCTGGTTGGTGTTGGGGTGTGTGTGTGTGTGTGTGTGTACCCGGTTGGTGTTGGGGTGTGTGTGTGTGTGTGTATGTGTGTGTGTGTACCTGGTTGGTGTTGGGGTGTGTGTGTGTGTGTGTGTGTGTGTGTACCTGGTTGGTGTGTGCTGGTTGAGAGGAATCGTGTTCGGCGGTTTGGTGTGAGCGCACAGATCCACCTCAGCTTTTCACTCCTGTCACACACACACAAAAACACACACAAAAACACAAACAGGTAAACAATGCTAACACTCCTGTGGATCTGAGGGTCTGAATGCAGTAACAGTGTTTAATAAGAATGATTAATTTCCTAAACAAACACAGAAATCAGCTGTTTCCAAACCAAACACACTTACCTGCTGTTGTGGTGAGAATGTTTTACTTAATCAGATTTCTTAAAATTAGAAAAAAAGATCTTGTGCTCCCAAATTATCTTACAATTTTATGATATTATATTGGTTTGAGGCTCTGAGGACAAAACTAATCTACACTAATTTGATCCTGCGTTATAATAAAAGTCTAAAATGAGCAAAAACTAGACTGAATCTTCTTAAATAAGAAAGTTTGAACAGCTTCCAGCTCAATACTTTGGAAACTCTGCTTTTAAATAAACCGTCTTTAAAGCAGCTTAAATCAGCACCGTAGCGCTTAAAATAGTTCCTGAAATGCTTCTCAGAGGGATTCAGTGTTAAAAAGCTGCACAGTAGATAATAAACGGCTTCATTAACTCTGAACACAGACTGAAAACTCGACTCGAAATGTTTTGAAGATCTCCACTATAAAAAAGGACATTTTTAGATTTTTCTTATTTTAAGAATGAATTATTTTTAAGATTATTAAATGGGACTAATTCCAATTAAAGTATTAAAATAATAAAGCTTTCTTAAAATGTCTTATTTTAAAGGTTTACTTATATAAACCTGTGATCTTTTAAAGAGATAATTCAAATTAAAATAAAATTAAAAGCAAAATGTTTTTGTTCACTGCAAATAAACTGCAGCATTTAAATTTAAGTAACAAAGTTCACTAAACTTCAAATAAAAGTTTTCAAATGTAAAACACAAATTATAAACTCAACATTTCATGTTAATCTGTTTACTGACGGTTTTAAATTTAAAAGGTGCAAAATATTTTACAGAAACTTTCAGTTCTCCAAAAGGAGTTTCTCTGTACACTCAGATCATTTGTCTAAATAATAATAAAATTGTGGATGAATAACAATAAATAATAATAATAATAATAATAATAATAATAATAAATTCATATAGTGCTTTTCTCAAAGCCAACGTCACTTTACAGATGCAGAAAAAGAAAAAAACAAAACAAAACAAAAAACGGTCAGTGAGCTGAGGAGTGAAAGTGCTGTAAAGAGGTGAGTTCTAAGCTGAGCTCTGAGGAGGACAGTGAAGGACCGTCACTGAGACACTGCGGTAATGAGTTCCGTAGTTTGGGGGCCGTGACCATAGATATATATACCTAGATGCCGCGTTGGGTCCAGCCAGACACGTCAACAGCGCCGCCATTGTAGGGCGGTCAACATCACTGCTGGACTGCATTCAGTACCATTACAGAGCGGCAGTTTAATAAAGATACTGTCCAAAATTACACTATTTCAGGAATATCACTCTCAGGATTATATAACGGAGGGAACGCAGTGATCCACACTCATGTCTGTGTGATGTGTGTTGTCTGTGTGGTGTTTGTGTAGATATGGCCGTGTGGTTAATGAGGCACAGAGAACCTGTTGATGTGATTGTTTTTCCTCTGGTTTTATATTAAGCTCATTTCATTTAATAGTCTATTCAGGGGGTCTTAACTTCATGTAGTAGTTATTTATTTATAGTGATGGTTAAAGCCTTATAGCTCGGTAAGTTACAGCTGCCTTAATCCGTGCAGATATTCATAATAGATTAACGTTAGCACCTTCTTACATGAAGCTGAAGTTATAGCTTCTTATTTGCCAGCTTTGAATTTTTCTGTTCCACCTTAAATGGCGCAGCTTCAGGCACCAGAAAGTGACCGCTGCACCATTTAAGGTGGAATGGGAAAACTCAAACAAGAAGCTGGCGAATAGGAAGCCAACTTCAGCTTCGTCCTTCTTACTGTGTTTTGGGAGGTTTATTTTATTTTTATGTGTATTAAGATTAGAAGTGATTCCCACTGATGTGTCTGATTGTGTTTCTCGCGCTAAACTCGGTTTTTAACGTCAGGTCCAGACTGAATACTTTCCTGCTGGTCTCAGCAGGATGAGTTAAAACTGGATGTGAATCAGGACGGAGAACCAGGGTACCTGTTAGAAATAAAGGTTCTGTGCAGGTACATTTTCCATTTCAAGTACAGAAAATGTAAATGTTCCCTCACAGGTACACTCTTAGAAAAAGATGGTTCTTCAAAAGGTTCTTTAGCGAAGAAAATACTTCTATCTAGAACCTTTTTGAACAGAGTTCTGTATAGCACCGAAAAGGTTCTTCTTTTGTAACAAGCCTGACATCATAACAATAGCAGAAGCCCTGTTGGTTCTATATAGAACCATCCACAGCACATTCTCCATCAAGCTGAAGAACGCTTTCACAATGCAAAGAACCCTGTAATCATGCAAACGGTTCTTTGAGTGTTCACGGACCTATGTAAAACCATTTTCTTCACTAAGGAACCCTTGAAGAACCATCCTTTTTAGAGTGAAGTGGGTTCTTTAATGAAAAAGCAGGTCTGTTGTTCACTTCTGAAATAGAGAGCTGTGATTGGCCAAGAGGAACGTCAGTCATTATTTTGGCCAAAACTGTCAGTTCCAGCTGAATGATGTCCGTCACACTGTGAGTCCCGCCCTGCTGGCCGAGAGGAGAGAGTGAGTCAGACAGGATTAAAAGATGTGACGTTCTCATTTGAGGAGAACCTCCTCCCTCTGAGCTTCGCTGACTCAGCAGAACGCAGCTTCAGATGTTCTGACGCACAAAACAGTCTTACAGAATGAAGGGCGTCGTGTGTGAAGGCGCGTCCTCGTCCTCGCCTCATTAAGCTCTCAGTGGAACATCACAGTTTTTTGGTGGATGCTGTCGCCACGGCGATGTTTACGGCCTCAGTAAAGCGGCTTTTATTCAACACCAGTGTGTAAACACAGCTCCAGCTGCTCCACTGGTTCTCCTGATGGGGAACTCAGCTGAGCTGTGCCAGTTACATTAGACCACTGGATCCCACACTGCAGTACAGTGGTACCCAGGGGTACGACTTTTGGGGGCACGTCAAAAAATTCTGACATTAATCTTCAATTAATTTCATTTAGTCAGCCGCAGTTAAACAGTCGCCCAGACTCACTGAGTTCAGCCTGAGTTCAGCCCCATTCAGACTGGATTAGTTTACACGAGGAGGAGGGGGCCGTCATTAT